CTACAGGCATGTGCCACCACGCCCAGCTCAACTTTCTTTAAAAAAAATTTTTTTTTTTATTTTTAAATTTGTATGTGTATGACTGTATTGCCTGCATGATGTAAAAGTATACCCATGTCCTGCAATGCCCATGGAGGTCAGAAAAGAGCATTGGATCCCCTGGAACTGGAGTTACAGGCAGTTGTTAGCTGCCATGTGGGTGCTGGGAATTGAACCCAGGTCCTCTGCAAGAGCAGCCAGTGCTTTTAACCACTGAGCCATCTCTCCAGCCTGAGATAATCAGCTTTCAAGGAGGAAAGATGTACTTTGGCCCACAGTTTTGGAGGCTTAAGTTCCTTGCTGGTTGACCAAATGCTTTTCAGCCTGAGATGAGGCAGTATTTCATGGTGACTGCATATAGCTGAACAAAGTTGCTTGACTCATGGCTGCCAGGAAACAGGAGACAGAGAGAAAAGGGCGAGTCTATTATGGTTTGAATGTGAAATATCCCTTACATGCTTATGGGTTTGACTATATCTTTGGTTCCCCCACTGGTGATGCCCTTTTTGAAAATTATGGAACCTTTGGGACATGTGGCCTAGCTGGTTGAGTTGGGTTGCTAGACACGGGTACCAGCCTGCTTGTTCTCTCCTTCCTAGTCCTGCTATGATGTGACCAGCGTCCTCAAGTTCCCACTGACACAGACTGAGCTGCTCCTGAAACCATTCTTTTCTTGCCATGATATACTGAGCCTTCTGAAACCATGAACCTAAATAAGTCCTTCCTCCCTTAAGTTGGTTCAGTCAGGTATTTTGTCAAAACTAACACAATCCCAATATCCACTTTGAGGGCCTGTCCTCAGTGAACTTCTTCCAACTAGGCTCCATCTTTAACAGGTTCTACCACTTCCCAATAGCATTAGAGAACAACATGCATATTCTGCTTTCTAGAACCATTCTCATGGCCGAAATCTGTGTTGTGGTTCTCCAGAAAAATAGAATGGGACAGACACAGACACAGGCACAGACACAGAGACACACACAGACGGACAGACAGACAGACAGACACACACACACACACACACTGTATCATGAGGAAATAGCTCATTTACTTATAAAGGCTTAAACCTCCTATACAGTCTGCCACATACACAATGGTGGCCCAAGAAATCCCCTGGTGCATCCCTGTGAACTGGAGGGCTGATGGCTGAAGTCTCATGTCCCAGCACAAGTAATCAGGCGTACAGAGCAGCCTTCCTCATCTCAGCTTTGTTGTTCTATCAGCCCTCCATGAATGGGCTGAGGGGCTGAGTGAAGCCTATCCACATTGGGACGGTCATCTGCTTTACTTACTGATTTAAAAGTTTATCTCATTTGGAGACACACCGTGCCACACTCCAAGAAATAATGTTTAATTTGATACATAAAATTAATTTTCATAAACACATAGATAAATCAAAGACCCCTGAGTAGCAGCAACTTGAGTTTTGTTTATAAAGCAGTAGGAACAGAAGAAATTTCGACTGTCTTCAGTAAGATACAAGCTTTCACATCGGTTGTTATCTTAAGGCCCATTGAGAAACACAATCTTCTTTGTATTTATAAAGGAGAATAATAACATGTTACAATGATTCATATTTTGTACAAAAAGGGAAAGTTTGTAAATTGGGACTAAGTCCAAGATTATTAATACCTGGAACAAATGCTTCATAACTTAAACACAGAGATACTAATTACTATATAGTAATTATTTACAGTTCTTATTAACTAGAGTAATTTAATCACATACAGTTGCTGATTTAGTTACAATGACAATTATTAATGACATAACAGTATTGTGGCAGTTTGTACATAATTTCCCTTTCTGTTTTACTCAGGTTAATAAATCATTAAATAACCAGTAATCAGTAATAAACCACTTCAGTGTTTCAGTAAACCTTCCAAGTTAAGACCACTTCCCCCACAGGAAAAAGAATGTTGAAAACGAATAGGACACTGAATTGTGGAGAAAAATGCCTAGATTTATAATAGCTGTGCGGGTTTTTTTCTCATCAATATGATGTAGATTGTTTTGAAGAATTTAATAGTCTACTTTTTGGAGGCTGGAGAGATGGTTCAGTGGTTAAGAACACTGTTGTTTTTTTAGAAGACCTGGGTTCGAATCCCAGCACCCACATGGCTGCTAACAACCATCTGTAACTCCAGTCCCAGGGGATCTGACAGCTGCTTCTGACCTCTGCGGGCACTTCACGACACGGGTGCACTCACCTACATGCAGGCAATATACGCATACACATAAAATAAAATAAAAAAAATTTAAAAAGAATAATTTAATTTCTATTTTTCGTTCCAAACAGCAATGTGAAAAAGCAGAATAACTGAAGCTGCTTCCTGAGATTAGCGGAGTTATTTTGGACGCAATGATAGATTACTCCGAGGCAAAACGTTACAGATTCTCTTTGGAAAGTATGCTTTTCCACCTACGGCATCCCCATGCACATCCTTTGAGCTGGATGATCGTCTTCCTCTGCTGTTTTCACTACTGGGGATTGAACCCAGGGCCTTGCATGATAGGCAAGTGCTCTACCACTAAGCTAGACCCCAGAACCTTTTCACTGTGTAGCCCGGGTTGACCTGCAGCTTGCCTCCCAAATAGCCGGAATTAGAATCGTGAATCTCCATGCGTGGTGTGGGCTGGATGATTCTGTATATTTATATTTATGTGGATGCACAACAACACATTTCTCAGGAGCCATCTACCTTGTTTTCAAAAATATTACATTTATTTACTTATTCTGTCTCTCTCTCTGTGTGTGTGTGTGTGTGTGTGTGTGTGTGCAACATGCCACAGGGCAGATGTGGAGGTCAGAAGTGGAAAGAGTGGGCTTTTTCCTTCCACCATGTGGACCCAAGGGCCTTTATCCAATAAGCTGTCTTGCCAGCCCTACCTTATTTTTTGAGACAGGGTTTATGACTAGAACATGAGCTTGCAAGTAGGCTAGGCTGGCTGGGCTACACTGGGATTACAAGCATGAAATGCCATGCTTGATTTTTTTACATGGGCCCTGGGTATCAAATTCAAGTGTCCATGATGAAATGGGAAGCACTTTACTGATTGAGATATCTCTGGGCTGGATGATTTTGAAGGAATCCTTCAGAATACAGACTGTATGATTCTATACCATGACACACATTTAATTTTTAATTGTATTGCCTTACTATAAGTAATTATATTACTTACTTGTATATTGCATATAAGGCAGATTTCTGTCTCAGGGCCTTTGGACTTGCTACTCCATCAAATAGGTCATTCCTTAGATGGTCATGGCTTAGTCTCTCAGTTAAGTCCCTGCTCAGTATCACTTCCTCAGAGCAGCCTCCCCTGATCAGCTCATCTAAAAATAGCAGGCTGTTACTATCCCTTTAGTCTGCTTTTTTCCCATAGCATTTATCACTATCTGGCTTTGAATGCTTGCCTTAGCCTCTGGAATACTGTGTAAAGGCAAGGACTGTATCAGCATGGTTCTTTGCTGTATTCGCAGAGTCTGGCATATAATTGCCCAAGACATATTTGCTGAATTAATTGAATGAATTGCAATTTGAGTTTAAATATTTACTTCTTTTTGCCTCCTCAACCAGGCAGTAAATTTCTGGAAAGCAGCCAAGGTCCCTGGTTGATTATTTAACTTTTCTAAAGTCATTAACTTAGCTCTGCATGGAGGACGTTCACCCCAGTATCTGCTGGAAGAGCAGCTAAGATACAGCCAGTATCTCTGCTGCTACCAGGGATCAGCATGCCTGGCCTTCCAGCCACATTTGAGTTTACCTCATTTGGTTATATTGGCAACACTAAGTAGTTTTTAAAGTTGGCCAAAAGAAATAGGCCCTCAAATACAACAAATCTTATTTTCTGGTATGTACTATTGTAACTAAAAATTTAATGTGGCATTTAATGTGTTATGGGAAATTTGGGGAAAGTACTGAATAACTGAGAATCTACCTATATTTTGGTATGTATATGTGCACAGAAAAAAATGTTTTAAGTCGTCGCAGTGGATATTTCTGCACAGTAGGCTTTCCCTCTGTCTCTCCCTTTTTTTTGGGGGGGTGTCTTTTTTTTGAGACAGGGTCTCCCAGTAGCCCCAGCTGGCCTGGAACTCACTATGTAGGCCAGGCTGGCCTTGAACTCACAGAGATCCGCCTGTCTCTGCCTCCCGTAGTGCTGGGATTAAAGGCATGCCACCATGCCCGGCTTTCTTTCTTTAGACAGGGTGTTAGTATTTTAGGCTGGATTCCAACTCTGAGGAGGGCCTTGAACTTTTGATTCTCTATGGAGTGCTGGGGATCCACTTCAGGGTTTCATATATGCAAGACAAGCACTCTACCAACTGAGCTACATCATTAATACAGCCAGTAGAAATGTTACTTTTTTTTTTAAGCAATGCTTCATTCTTTTGCCCAAACACCCACAACTCCCCACAAAACTTTCCAGGATACTGAGCTCCCAGGACAGAAGGCCAAAATCAGGTGTCAGGAACTCGCTCTGGAATCTGCAGCAAGCACTCTCACTCTTTCTTCGCTTGATGACTTAAGTACTGAAAATTCCCTTTTTCTTGTATTTTTCGCCCCACACGAAAGAGACACAACCACCTTGTGAACTAATCCACTAACGGCAACAATATGGCCATTTTAGGCTTGAAGGGGTTTGGGATTTCTTAGTTAACAAACTTGAAGGGCTTTGTGAGCCTGTTGGCGCCCCTTGGGGCACTGGCGAGCCCGGGAGTCGTGGCCGCGCGCCACTCGAGTGGGCAGGGGAAGCACACGCGTGGCTGCGAGGCCACTCCAGACCGACACGCGGGAGCAGCCCTCGGCTGGCCGCGCGCCGCAGGGCGGGGCTGGAGCCTCGGGGCCGCGCAGCCGCGTGCAGGCCCCGCCGCCCCAGCGGAAGCGCCCTGACGCGTGCGCGCGGCGCGTGGCCGGGAGCCCCGGGGGCCGGGCTGGGAGAAGCGGGCGGAGGGGGCGGAGCGGGGCGGCACCTCCCAGTAGCTTCCCGTGGAGTCGGTGTCCGCCTCGTGCGCCTCGGAGGCTCGGCAGCAGGAGCAGAGACGAGCGGCAGTACGCGCGGCGGAGGCGCCCAGACGCTCAGGTACGTGCGGCCCGGGAGCGCCGAGCGCGCCGGGCGCGGGGCGGTTGGCCTGACGGTTGCGGCTCGCCGCGGCCTCTGTGACGCCCGGTGCGGCCTCCGATCGCCCGCCGGAGCGGAGGCGGAGGGGAAGGGGCGGAGTCTGCGGGGGGCGCGGGGCGGAGCCG